TAATCGTAGTTATTATAAATAAATCAACTTCTACAAACTCGTTTCTAATGCTCGGCATGTTCGAAAGGGTTACCACCGAGGTTACCACCCTCCATAATGCACACATTTATTTTTCGTTCAATCTTATTTATAGCTCTTTGAACAGATCTTTTTATACTTCTGAATGCATTTTGTACCCTTTAATTGTTTTTTATTACTCGTTAATTGTTTTTGTACTCTTAATGTTGAAATGTATTGATTTCAAATGTCCAAAACAATTTTTATTGATTTTCTTTATTCAATGTTAATTAGCGCTGATCCATATTGTTGTGCTGAATACAATCAGATTAAATAAATTAAAAAACCAGAGTAGGATTTGAAATTATTTTAAATAAAAATTAAATATTTTTTTTATTGTTTTACCCAAAACAAAAAGAAGTATCAAGTGTGGCATATCATTGTACTCAGGATACTGGAGACTTTCAAAGTCTGAAATAAAAAATGCAGGTCCGTATTTAAAAAAATTAAATTAGCCTCTGTATTTCACAAATGATAAGCTAATTTGAAAATCTAAAAATACCGTCAGATAGCCCTAATAAAGTGGCTATGAGAATGTGCAATTAGTTTTATGATTTTCTAAAAAATAAGGACAGGAAAAAATAAAATTGATTTTCAAAAAAATCCGTTTTTTCCAAAAAACTCAGCAATCCTTGAAATTTCCAAAACTTTTTTAATGGCATATTGGTGAACATCCTAAAGCGCAACTTTGCCCCAATTTAACCATGTTCATATTTATTACGGTTACCGAGATACCAATGCTCATACCTCGAATTTGTAGCACTCTGTATAATAAAATGATATAATATATAGATATAATAATAATATGAGTTTCTTGCCTTGAACTGCTAATATAGAAATTAATTCCACGCAGTGTTCGACATAATGTGGATCAACCTGCTCTCACTACCGGTTTCGGGGCCCTACCCCATCATCAGGTGAGCTTTGGTCGTTTCCACAAAATGTCGTGCACAGCGCAGAGTATATAAATACGACTTGTCGTAAAGTAGCGGTAAGATATTAAGTCCCGCATCGCGATATCTTACCGCTACTTTAAGACAAGTCATATTTATATACTCTGCGCTGTGCTCGACATTTTGTGGAAACGACCCAAGCTAACCTGATGATGGGGTAGGGCCCCGAAACCGGTAGTGAGAGCAGATTGATCCACATTATGTCGAACACAGCGTGGAATTAATTTCTATAATTCAAGGCAAGAAACTCTTATATAATTTTATTATACACCTAAAAACTGCAAGAAATTTATTTTCCATTATATAATTTGGGCTAGCCGAAAAAAGCCTTTATTTACTATCGATAGTTGTGCCTCGGTGGTACGAAAGTACTACCATTGCACGCAGGCCGCTGTCTTGCGATGCGGAACTTAATATCTTACCGCTACTTTACGACAAGTCGTATTTATATACTCTGCGCTGTGCACGACATTTTGTGGAAACGACCAAAGCTCACCTGATGATGGGGTAGGGCCCCGAAACCGGTAGTGAGAGCAGGTTGATCCACATTATGTCGAACACAGCGTGGAATTAATTTCTATATTAGCAGTTCAAGGCAAGAAACTCTTATATAATTTTATTTAAAATTATTTTGAAATATACGGGGTGATCAGAACTAAGATCCATACCAAAGCTTTTTTTTATGGAACACCTGGTATTTTATTTCCTTTTTGAATTCCTGGGCCCAAAAAAAGGCATTTATTATAAGAATTAAATATCTTTAAAATCTTTGGTTTTTGAGATGTTTAAAGATATTTAAATTTGCATGCTACAATAGAGTAGATTATTAACACCCTGTACATTACTATTCAGAATTAATTCTTATGCTGAGTTTAAAGGTAGAGAATAAGCTTCACTGAAAAAATAGTATTGCTTCCTTAAATTTATACAGGGCTATCAAAAGTTGCTGATCTGTTTTAAGGATATATTTTTATATAAAAACTTCGTTATTTCAAATACAACACCCTGTATTTTTTTAAATAAATCGAAGCAGATTCAAATGCTCTTTCAAACTATATTAAGGTTTCCTATACCTATCTAGCTCAGATTTTGCATAAAAAGCGGTTTTTAAATAAAATTGCAATCAAGATGACTGGTATCGCTATGGCAATTTTATAGTGACAGTTAGTAACTATTTCCAAAGTCGACATTAGTTTATGGACATTATTATTTATAATTTATAACAGTTTACTTAAATTTACCTACAATAGTTTAATAAGTATTCATTATTTTTCCAAGAAAAATAAAGCAGTATCTGCCGGTTGACGAATAGATAATGTTACTAGTGATTTTTTTTTGATTTTATTTTGTGAGGAATATTGCTTCTTGGCCTGAAGAGCTTATGCTTAAAGATATCCAAATAGGAATCTTCCTGATAAGCGTTCCTTTGAAAAACTACTTGTCCTATTTCACAGAGCTGGTAGTGTGGTTTCTAAAAAACCTATTAGGCAGAAACCTGTCATTGGACGTGAAGAAAATGAATTTACTATAACTGGTCCTTTTATAGAAAATCCATATATCTACAAGGCATCGTAAAATAAACCAAAGAACTACTTCTTCGTTTTTCTTGATAGAATAATAAATACATATTTAATAAATATTATTTATTAAACTATTGTAGGTAAATTAAATAAAAGTAAACTGGTATAAATTTAAATAAGTCCATAAACTAATTTCGATTTTGAAAGTAGCTACTAACTGAAAACTAGAAACTTGCCATAACGACATTAGACCTCTTGGTTGCCATTTTATTAAAAAATTGATCTTTATTCAAAATCTGAGCTAGTTAGGTATAGAAAACCTTAATATTGTTTGAAAGAGCATTTGAATCTGCTTCAAGTTATTTAAAAAAATACAGGGTGTTGTGTTTGAAATAACGAAGTTTTTATGTAAAATATATTCTTAAAATAGATCAGCAATTTTTGATACCGCTGTATAAGTTTAAGGAAGCATTAACATTTTTTCTGTAAAGTTTATTTCTTTAACTTTAAACTCAGCATAAGAATTAATTCTGAAAAGTAATGTACAGAGTGTTAATAATCTATTTTATTGTAGCATGCAAATTTAAATATCTTTAAATATCTCAAAAACCAAAGATTTTAAAGATATTAAACCCTTATAATAAATGCCTTTTTTGGGCCCAGGAATTCAAAAATGAAATAAAATACCGGGTGTTCCATAAGAAAAATTATAACTTTGGTATGGATCTTGGTTCTGAAACACCCTGTATATTTCAAAATAATTTTAAATTGTGCACATTGTCTCCCCACAAATACCCATAGAATATTTTGTTTCTACATCTTTCCGTTTTCGTATAATCAACCGAGGCGAATGAGGTGCGCCACCCTGTATAGAATATACTATTTATTTATATATACTAGTGTTATATTAAAATCGTTAACAGAGTCTTTCCAAATAATATATGATAAACAAATATCTCACAGAAAATAAATTAATTTTTGAAATTACAGCATGAGTATCAGGTACAGTAAGACTGTGTATCAAATCATAGATGAACGAGAAAGTTCAATATTTTATTAAAGTAAGTCTAAAATTTTTTGAGTATACTTTCTGTGAGCCCTTATGTTAATTAATAATAACCAACAATATTATTTCTTTACCGCATCTACCTATTACCTACATTTACCTATGTTTACCGAGAGAGAGTGGGAACGCGACGAGTGACAAATAATTGCACAAGAAAACCGTTCTCACGACATAGCGTGTATACCGTGATGGCAACTGTTACTCTTGGGTCGGTATTTACATGTGTGGAAGTAAATCGCATAGGGATCTTATTAAGTCGAAGTGAGAGAAATGCGACGGAGTGCTGTTGCGGCGTTGCCGGTACGCCTTTCCCTGTCAAGTAAAGTAAAATCACGATCGCAAACAGCTTATTTTTAAAAGACTTTGTTTTCGAAAAGATAACTAGGTAAAATCATTAGAAATGTTTCTGAGCATCTGAAATGGAATTATAAGGATATTTTTAGGGTGTCATTTTTTATAACGAGGGAACGTCAGTAATCGCGATAATTTAAACTTTTTAACACATAACACGCCATAACTCAAGAAACACTTTAGATACTGAAACTTTTTTTTATTTTGAAGATAGCATCTTTTACAATATGTTTACATAAGAAAAATTCGATAAGGTTGTTTTTTCCCATTCAAAAATTGTAAACAACCCATCCATTTACTTTTAGAGCATAGCAATTTTCAGCAATCATGTAATTTTTTTATTGATAAAGATTTTCTTAATTTTTATAATCTTTTTATTATTAAGAATGTTTTTGAAAAAACTACAATCAATTATTTCTAATAGATTTTGAGATATCGATTTTTGAATTCAGAGTTCTAATATTCTAATAGCTCGACCACTGTCGAAAACCAACTCAATTCCACTTATTTTTACCAAAAATGCAAGTGTTTCTAGCTTGCACTTGAAAATTTCCAAGCTATAGGGAAAATTATTACAAAGACTCATTAATAAATAAACAAATAAAGTATCACGAGACGTAATTAAATCGTGAAGCTGAACGCAAGATGTACACTTTTCCATAGAACTTTAAGTACTGACAGAGGTACTGATTGGGTCGACCGGTCAACTGCGACAAATCTGCTATATCCCCTTCCACGTCTCGTGCACAGTTTCTCGATTTATTTCATACGTTTGGCAACATGTTTACTGTTCTCTCCTTGTTCAGTACATTATAAACACATTGTACTCTTCTTACGTACGGAAATCTCGACCCAAGACTAACCTTTGCCAGCCCTTAGTATTCCAATAACAAATGTTTGACAAGTACACGAGTCGTGAGAATGCGCCTTAACATTATTGAAACTAAAAAGAAATTAACAGGTTAATATTTAAATAAGCAACAAACCAATAAAACTTATTTGTGGTAAATCATAATATAAAATTCTAGAATACATTTATCTAATATTACTTACCCCATCTGCATCTTCTATTATATCCTTTCCAACTGATGCCAATGTGGTCCACTTGCAGTTGTTGATGGCTTTGGCTGCACATCGTTTGTGTACATTGAACTTGCACACTTCACATCGAAGTAAATGTCTGGCGTTTATTTTGTATCGACAAACATTGCAATATGTAGGTCGTGCGTCAAAAGATGGAGCATACCTGAAAAAGAGTTATAATATACATACATAGTTTTAATATGGAACTAAGTAAATTTTAATGAAGTTGATAATATAATGAACAGTTGTAATTGTGAATAAAACGAGAATAACATAGCTGTTAACATTAACAATAATTTTTTGGATTTCAATTATACAATATACAGGGTGCTTCTCAAAAGTGGCTCACCCTTATAACTTTTTTATTTTTTCAGATAAAAAAAATCGAGATTCGGTTTGTTAGTATATGACATAAATTAGGATTGATTGATGTATTCAATTGTTTTCGGTCACTTCCTGTTTCATCGGAAAGGACTACAACTTTTGATTTTTAAATGGCACGCTCAGTATTGTGTTACTTTATTCGATACAAAAAATAACACTGAATAGAATGACATATCATATGTTAACTTTCGACATTTTTGAATATTGTTTATTTGAAATTATTGCAACATGCGATTCATAACGAAAATTTTATTTGAAAGACCAAGTGTGTGGTACCAAATTATTCGTAAAAATATGTTTTTTTCAAATATGCTAATGAGCCACCCTCGTTTCATTTGAAAAAATTGAGATATGATTAAAAATACGATTTGAGAATCTTTTAATCGGTCAGGACAAGACACTAAAACATTAAACGATCAAATATATTTTTCCAAGGCTCCTTGATTAAAAATGAGTGTTTTAACACAGCCATGGCACTCTAGATTAAAATTTTGTTTTAAGTAAAAATTTCAATAGTTGACATATGAAATTTCTAGACCCTTTATCTCCGAAACCAAGCATTTTGGGACATATATTTATATACAAACTCTTCTAATGATTTTCATCTGCAGAATATGTTACCGAAGTTTCCAGAATACAATTCGGACCACGACCACCCTATATATTCTTCTAGATTCAAGTAGTTCCAGTAATTATACTTCAAAATTTGCGAGTTTTCTAAGTTAAATGTTAGGCGTTCTCGATGGATACAACTGACTAACCCAAGCTGCTGCTAGGATATTCTATTAATTCCAATTGTGTTTTTTAAACATTGTGAATGATCGTTAACTAAAAAGTATAAAGTGTAATTGAAACTTCTAATTTATTCTACTAATTGCGAGGTTCTAAATGAGCTTTACGCGATTATACAACTCTATGTATATTTTTCCTATACCGGGTGCGTCTCAAAAGTAACTTCCTGTTTCACAGGAAATTACTATAACTTTTGATTTTTAAATAGCACCCTCGGTATTTTTTACTTTATTCGATAGAAAATGACATTCTGAATAGAATGACATATCATATGTCAACTTTTGACATTCTGGCTTAATAAAAAAAATGTTTTTTAAAATTCAATCTAGAGTGCCATGTGTATGTTAAAAACACTAATTATTCATCAAGGAGACTTTGAAAAATAGATTTGATTGACTATTGTTTTTAGTGTCTTGTCCGGACTAGTTAGAAAATGCTCAAATCGTATTTTTAATCGTATCTCAATTTTTTCAAATGGAACGAGGGTGGCTCATTAGCATATTTTGAAAAAGCATTTTTTTACGAATAATTTGATACCGCACACTAGGTATTTCAAGTCAAATTTTCGTTACGAACAGCAAGTTATAATTTCAAATAAACCATATGCGAAAATGTCAAAAGTTGCCATATGATATGTCCTTCTATTCAGAATGTCAATTTCTATCGAATAAAGTAGAAAAATACCGAGGGTGTCATTTGAAAATCAAAAGTTGTAGTCATTTCCGGTGAAACAGGAAGTCACCGAAAAGAATTGAATTCGTCAATCAATCCTAATTGATGCCATATACTAACATACAGTACATCTGCTGGATCTGTGCCTATAAAAGGAATGCGGACAAAAAACATTTAAATAAACAACAATATATTTTATACGTCGATTTGACGAGTGCGTCACCGCAAATCGCTCCGCCCACTCATTTTATTGGCTACTTGCAAATTTGTTGAATTTTTATTAATGAGACGCGTCGTCTATTTTTTTACGAAAAACATCGAGAGAATATCGTTTCCCCTCTCACGGATACCCCGTAGCTACAAAACGGACAGATGTACTGTACCAAATCTCGATTTTTTATCTGATAAAATAAAAAAGTTATAGGGGGTGAGTCACTTTTGAGACGCACCCGGTATAAACTAAAACATAGTCATATACAGGGTGATTCACGGCCATGGCACGTTAGACGTTTATGGAGAACCAGTGACAATTTTTTTTTTGGAAAATTTGTGTTGCCGCTTCATACTAAAAGTTTTAGTTAGCATCTTTGTTATTTTAAATAGAACAACCCTGTATATCATTATTTTAAAATTAATTTAATTTTTCTATTATACTAACCTATACCAATCTCGGATAGTTTTCGAGATAAAAAATAAAATATATATATAAAATTATGAATTAAACATTTTTAAAGTTGAAATTTGGGTTATAAGTAGCGATGGGAACTATCGAATGAATTAGACTATCGAATGGTTACTGAATGAATGATTTCAACTATCGAATGGTTTTATTCGAATAAAATAATTCATTCATTTGTATACTAAAGCATATGTGACAACCTCGCCGTGCGACTAAATGGTTATCGTTGAGCCACGACTATCGAATGCTTTTGATAAATGAAATTTAGTATTCGTTTGATTTTTGTGTGCGTCAGTGCATTATTAGTTCTTCCAAATTTTTATAACTTCGCCTTATAAATACTTTGCTATTTTTGCGTTTATTAAAACATTTAAAATACTAAAATAGTAGTTTTTTTAAATGACGATTGTGTGCGTTTGCAGGTGTTAAAATTTTTCCAAAAATTTGTGTGATTTTCCGTAGCCCGATCTTTCAATTATTTTATTTTATATGGTATATGGTCTATTTTTTAATGGGAAATTTTGAGAAGTAGCGATTTTTAAGAGAGATGAGATGAACTTAGAATTAATTTTAAAAATACATATTTGTATTTTAGATGTTTTAAGAATATGAATTAGTTGAACTTAATAATCATATTTAAGTAATGCGGTTAAGTAAATGGGGTTATCGAACTCAAACTATGGGGTGAGAAAATTAAATTGAAAGTTTTACACGTGCCAATTTAAAAAAAAAGTTAACGATGTTTGTATTTTGTTTATGCTAATTCTCTTACATGTAGTTTTTTGCGAAGAAATATTTCATTTGTTTTTTAAAGTAAATGCCAGTAAAAGTAAATATTATTTTTAAATAGTAATATAACGTACCTAATATAAATAATTTTGATTTCTAATTTTTTATTTATATTTTCTTTCCATTACACTGCATGCTTAGAAAATTAATAAATGTTTATATTTCATGATTTTAAAGTTTGTTGTTAATATAACAAATTAGTTCTGTAATTATTATTATTTAATAAACCAATGTTGCCACAAAAAATTTAAAGACTATATTATTTTTAAATAGGATTTAATATAAATAATTTTAACATCTAATTTGTTGTTTATATTTTGCTACTACGCAAAAAAAATGTTTATATTAAATTATTTTAAATTTTGTTGTTAATAGGTATAACAAATTATTACTGTTATTATTATTTTTATTAAACCAGTCTTTGCTTAAAAACATTAAAAATAATTTTCCTACATCCAAAATAACAAGTATTATTGCAGTGTAACAACAGAATATTAATAAAAAATGCAAAATATATAGACATACTATCCCTAACTAACTAAAGCCAAACAATAATATTCTTTGCTAATATCAACTAATACCAATATATGGCAACAGCGCCCTTCATAATGTATTTTCTGTGTAAATACTAGCACCTCAATAAAAAAAATAATGTGTCCTTATCTTTATATGACTCACGCAAAAAATCAAAGATGCCGGCTTCTTTCATAGCTTTGCCACCGACCGCTGTCGGGTTTCTCGGAGAGAAACCTACGTCGCCGGGCGACAACTAAAATCCAGTTAATATTTTATTATAATCGATCCTGACGAAAAAATTAATTTCATAAATGAATGAATTTTATAAATGAATGGTTTTTGCTGCCGAATTACTAGAATACAATATTTCAAGGCAGATGACGCATCTATTCGATAATTTTTATTCGAATAGTTTTCAACGAATGTTTTCTTACTAGCTATCGAATTATTCGAATGAATTGCAATTATCGAATGTTTCGATAGTATTCATTCGATAGTTCCCACTACTAGTTATAAGTTAACGAGAGTCGATATATTCGATCTGTCTACATAATCCGATTGGGTATTACACAAAGAGAACAAAAATATTATTTGTTTCCGTTTATTATAAAATTATTCAAATTTTATTTTTTATTGAAACTACTTGGTATATGTGGCAATATTAAGAGTTATTTTTTTAGGTAGTTAAAATTAAATTTAAAATGTGGTACGCCTAAAAATAAAATTAATGTAGTTCGTTTCTAGAATTGTTAGTAATCGACTAACCGATATGAATAGAATTAATACTCGTAATTTTTTGTGTACAAATTTAAAATTACATTGAATAGAAATATGGTGAATATGGATAATGTATGAGGTAGCAACACTGCAATGTTTAGATACACCGTAGAGAAATCTCAGCTGAATAAACAAGTGGCACGAAAATTTTGTTAGGGGATCCATCATGATGAAATTGCATTTGTTGCAATTTCATCAGCATGAATGCAGTTGGTGTAGTTGGTGCAGTTGGGCCGCTTATTCTGCTATTAATGTTTGGGGCTTCTTGGATACCACTTACTTTAGTAGATAGAGACGCTGGAGCGACATATTTCCATAGCCAGCTAGGCTAGGATTTAATATGCCTGGGTTTTAATTTATGGGATCGAATATGGATAAATAACAATTAAATAGTATTAAAATGAAATTAAAATATATGTTTTGATATTTTGACGTAACCAATTTACCTCTTTTTGTTTCGTAGCCTACTACTATAATTTTTAGACCATATAATCCTAAGCGGCAGCCTAACATAATTTGTTCTCTTGATATCTCCGGTTAGAGAGAAGGTAGAAAGTTGCTGTTTGCGCTGATATTTTGGAAATGTTGTGTAAAGAGAAATGTGTAAGAATGAAAGTGAATGAAAGAAGAAATGTCTAAAAGAGAAAATGTGTAAAGAGATATATAGCCTCCCATTTAAATTTTTTATGCAAAAGCGCAATATCTGTTATGATGTCAAATAGCGCCCTCTAGCTACCACGAAAAAAATTATGGTAACAAAATTTATACTGGGAATCCTTAAGGAAGAAAAGCTCTTTTAAACAAGCCCTGGCTTGTTTAAATCGGGTAACCCAAACCAGAGTTATCCTTATTTTAATAAAAGCAAGTTTAACCTTCCCCCACCACTTTATTTTATGGGATAGAGCAAAATACTCTTCATCAAAAAAATTACGTGGAGAAAAAAATAAAATTTTCAACAATTTTGTTTCGCCAAAAAAAGCTTCACAGGCCGAAAAAGCTTTCTGGGGCTGAAATATACCGCCAGTTAAAATATCTGCACTTATTTCTGGGACATCCTGTATTTAGAAATATATAGGGAAAATTTTGCAAAACACCATCAAAGAAAACATAAACTCCCATATTTTATTCAGCGCCATGAGCTCGAAACTGCAATAAATCCATCGAATACGAAACTGCAAGCATGCACTACAGGAACTATACGGAAATAATAGCGCTACAGAGATATAATATATCAAGAAAATGTTACGTGAATTATTATACTAGGGAATTTTGTTTTCTATATTAATCTCTCCCCAGGAAGTAATCTTTCATTAAGAGGAAAACTTTATAATTTTCGAGAGAGAGAGAGAGAGAGAGAGAGAGAGATGTGTTAAATACGCATCGACTGTAGTCTTTTAGCGTCACTTTATCACATTTATTTATTTAAAGAAGGCATCCATTTTTCTCAAAGAGACCTGGTTCAAATTAAAAAAGTAGAAAAAAGACTCAAAGTCTCGGTCTCAACGTTTATACAATGTTAAACTGTTACACGTGTTTCGCTCATATACGAGCATCATCAGACCTAACAAGAAAGAACCCAAATAAATAGCAAATAATAAAAAGGTGGTCATAACTTACAAATACAATTAAAATCAATCCAAATACACGTTCACATTTCACAATTAAAACAACACTGAGACGAGGCTGAAATGACCGGCAAATATTTGTCAATAAAAAACAAACAGGAACAAAAAATCAAACAAAATCAAAAATAAAATAAAAAATAGAATAACCCAGCGGGATTTGAACTATAGCCTCCCGGGTGGGAACCAGAGAGCAAAGCCACCAAGCTACCATACCACTGAAGTAAAGATTCAGAACTCAACAATAATACACGGCCGAATTAATCTTTCAGATTATTGAAAATTAATGTCTGCATCGTGTGGGGTGGCAGTGAACGGCAGCTGGTGGATTTCCTTTCTTATGTCAATACCTTACATAATAGAATTTTTTTCACTTTGGAAAAAGAAAATGAAGGCAAATTACCGTTCTTGGATTTATTACTTATGAGAAATAATAATAAAATAGAGTTTGAAATTTTTAGAAAACCCTCCTCCACAGATAACGTTATTCAGCATATTTCTAACTCCCCATATTCCCATAGATTCGCAGCGTTTAATTCTTTGTTCTATAGATTATGTAACTTGCCACTACCCAGAGAAGCGTTTAATAAAGAGACATTAATTAAACATTATAAGACAAATTGCTTTTAACAACGGGTTTCCGCTAGGAACTATTAACAAGATTTACTATAAGTTTGTAAATAGGTACAAGATGTCTTATAATGTCATATATTCGAAAAATTTACAGAGAGGCCCGTATAAAGTTTTAACATTTTTTGGTAATATTTCACTCCAATTGGCAAAATATTTTAAAAATCTTAATTTATCTTTTTCCTTTAAAACTATTAATACATTAAAAGCAAATTTGGTTAGAAATAAAGACAAAACGGAGAGGCTCTCTAAATCGGGAGTTTATTCTTTGAATTGTGGCGACTGTCAAGCGGTCTATGTGGGGCAATCAGGTAGAAAGATTTCCACCCGAGTACAGGAACATCTGAGCCTTGTCAATAAATACAGAAATTCGGATATAACTGAGACTAAATCGGCTTTTGCGAACCACTTATTAGCCACAGGTCACAATTTTTCCATCTCAGAAAACGTTAGTGTTCTGCACGAATGCCAAAAAAGTAAAAAACTTGATTTATTGGAGAAAATGGAAATAACTAGAGCTAAAAAAAGTCCGGTTCTTGTGTGCGTGAATGATATTTTTAATTTCGAACCAACATTAATTTTCAATAATCTGAAAGATTAATTCGGCCGTGTATTATTGTTGAGTTCTGAATCTTTACTTCAGTAGTATGGTAGCTTGGTTGCTTTGCTCCCTGGTTCCCACCCGGGACGCTAGAGTTCAAATCCCGCTGGGTTATTCTATTTTTTATTTTATTTTTGATTTTGTTTGATTTTTTGTTCCTATTTGTTTTTTATTGACAAATATTTGCCGGTCATTTCAGCCTCGTCTCAGTGTTGTTTTAATTGTGAAATGTGAACGTGTATTTGGATTGATTTTATTTGTATTTGTAAGTTATGACGACCTTTTTATTATTTGTTATTTATTTGGGTTCTTTCTTGTTAGGTCTGATGATGCTCGTATATGAGCGAAACACGTGTAACAGTTTAACATTGTATAAACGTTGAAACCGAGACTTTGAGTTTTTTTTCTACTTTTTTACATTTATTTATATATGTTTATATATGTCGATATCTATACTAATATATAAAATCCTTAAGTGACTCACTGATTAATCACGATCCTGCCCAAACCACTCAACGTAAGAAGCTCAATTTTGGCATACAGGTTGATTCTAGGGTGTACAGGTGCGATAAGAAGGGATTTTTCGAAATTCCAGTTCCAAGGGGGTGAAACCACCCCTCAAATATTACAATATTTTTTATTTAAAAAACGGTCAAGTTTCCGAAAAACCCCTTAAACATGTATATTTTATTATGTGTTTTACATATTTAAAGATTTTTTAAAAATGTGTACAGGGTGTTTCGAAAAATCTGGTTATTGATTAATCACGTTCCTGCTTAAAGCGCTTGATGTAAAAAGCTGATTTTTTGGAATCGAATGGCCTTACATATTGCAAAAAGCTCTGCTGAGAATTCACATTTCTTTATCAAACGTATGAAAAGCCGCTCCCGTGTGCCTATCAGTTTTCGAGCCATCGGTGTAAACCAGTCGATGACTCTTATACTTCGAGTTAATGAGATTTTTGAATTGTGCTCTTATAGTGAGATGTGAGCATTTCTTTTTGTTTTGGACTTTGAGTGATAGGTTAAGGGAGAGTGGGTGCAGACTCCATAGAGGAAACATACGGGAGAATGGCGCAATATTGAAAGGAGGAGACAAATCGATTGATAGTCTTTCCTTTATATCTACATAACGGTGGTTTAATGCTCTTTTGAAATTATTTTGCAACATAAATCTTATATTAGCAATTTTTACGTTTTGAATATTCATTAATGAAATTCCTTTAATTTCTAGATTTTACATTTATTTGGATCGATTTACATTTATTCGGATAGAAATAAATTTGTAAGTAAACTTTAAATTGGCAAGTTAACTACATAAGGATTTACATATCAAGTGAGGTATAATCAAGCTACCACATGCATAATATATTTGTATATGAGTCGCAAATTATTCACTCGAAGATATACCGGATTAAACGACACCGCTTGTAGTTACATGCACAGGGTGAGTCAACGATAGAGTAAAGTCCATTATCTTATTCGTTTCGAGATTTACAAAAAATATTTAAACATAAAAGTTATAGGGAAGGTTAAGATACACATTTTAAAATTATTATAGAGAATACTCTATTTTATATTTTATTTTTAGATTCTGCGTAAAATTCCATAACTTTTTGATATATTATATTATATACCTAAAATTAATAGTTTTTGTAATATTTAAATTTATTTTTTACAAATGTTAAATTGCAGTGTGATAAAAAATTGTCAGTGGTGCTATTGTTTCTGAAATTGGAGTACCAAAATTTGGTAGGACAGTTTTATTGTGATGAAAAAAAGATATACAGGGTGAGTTTCCTACGATGTTCTCTATGGGTATCTCGGAAACTACTGGACATAGAGAGTCGGTTAAATGGGGAAAGAATTGCAGTTTTGTGGGGTCATAAATATGCGCCTTTCAGATTTTTTAAAAAATTCATGGCTTACTAGATATTTAGAAAAAAACAAATTTTGGCTATTTTAAAAATTGTCCCTAATTCCATTATAAACTATTTTAGACAAAAAGTTTTCAGATAAAAGTTGTAGATTCACATCCTTAATGAGATTGTGTCCTCTGTTTTTTTTCTAAAGCCTGTCATTTTTGACATTTGACACAAACATATGTTTTTTTAAATGGAAACCATAGTTGGCCATGACTCTATAAAAAGTGCCATTTTTTAAGCTTTTCAGCGATATAAGCTATAATATGTTTTCTTCGAAAAATTATCGAGTTAAATTAATTCTTATGATTTTTAAATAGTTCCACTTAGTTCGCCATGGAAACAATCGTCTTTGCTCTTTCTCAATAGAAGCTTTTCAGCGATATAAGCTATAATATGTTTTCTTCAAAAAATTATCGAGTTATAGCCAATTCTTATAATTTTTAAGTAATTTCACTTAGTTAGCCATGGAAACAATCGTTTTTGCTCTTATAAATGTGAAGCTGCCACATCCAAACTTTGTAAATTAAAATAA